TTTTTTTTGGAAAGCCGGGGCCGGGGGTTGCCGACCCCCGACCCCGGGGACCCCCGCCGGGGCCCCGTGTCCGGGGGTCGACAACCCTGATGTGAACGAGTTTTGAAGTTCGAACGCTTTTCCCCTTTCACATGAGATTCGTTCCTAACATTTCACTGCGACACTATTGTTCAGCGAATCTAATCCCGTTATTATCATATTGTTCGAGTTTTTTTTTCTTTCCTTCTCTTAATTTTCCATTTCGCATATCCGCAATTAGGGGCGGCATAACTGTCGCTGTTCTAAGGACTCTGCTACGCATAGAGCCTACGGTTGAACAACGTATAGAAGGAGGAAATGAGATTTTGTCCAGCTATTTTCATATTCCCCTACTTTGTGGGTTGCGGTGTTCATAGCATTGCCCAAATCTGTATTGTAGATGTTCAAGAAAACACTAACCGATGTGATACCCTTGTCGATTGGATAGATGCACAGATGATTGTTTAATGAGGCTGGACCGCGGACTTGCAGGCTTGCAGAAACATATTATTATTATTTTATTTTCGCCCTATTTCGAACGGTTGTACGAGCCTTCTGGCTCATTATTTAATAGGGGCGCATGAAAGGCTAATCAATCCTCCAACCCTCTGTTCTGTTGCTGAGGACCTCTGAAGCGGGCACGGCGGGTGACAGACGTCGCTGCCTCTGGCTTCAGCAATGGAGAGGGACCCCTCCCCGGGTCTTCCTCACAATTTTCGCGCAGTTGTCCGGGAGGGGAAAACACCCCCAAGGCATCGGCCTTTCCCATCAAAGGGGGTGCAAGAGGAGAGGAAAAACTCGAAATAATCGATTTAATTAATTAATTGATTGATATTTGTTTGATTAAATATTTGTTATTTTTACATATATATGGCGATCCGGTCATCTACGGGCAAAGCATACCTGCACCAAAGATGATGGCGATGATTTTCTTAAGATTTTGGGATCTGCGGTGCTTAAAACTGTACACCTAAACTCAAGTTATAAAATTTTATTGATTTTGTTTAATTAAGAATTTTTTTTTTACTATTTATCTAGGCTACCAACCGGGCCGACCGGGTCACCTTATTTTCTCAAGCGGCGCGGCCGTGCAAGAACTATAAAAAATCGAAAAAAACTATATTATGCAGAAAAAGAAACTGAACAACGTTTACCTCAGGGTCATATCGAAATTATTTACCAAATTTAAAATAAAATTTTAATTAAAAAATATTATTTATTTTTTTATTTTTTTATTTCTTTTCGGTGTGGTCGGGCAAGTGGATCGAGTCACTCTAGTAGCCTAGCTATTTATTTGTTTTGCTAAAACAAGGGGCGAAAATAGCGAACGCCTACCGAAAGCAAAGTTGACCATCTGATTTTTCCCGAAATATTGAGACATATTTCGGTGGAAACCGACGTCGGATACGATAGGTACAACCCCTCAACAACCGTATTAAATTGATTTAAACAGATAAAATTTTGAATTTCTTTATTTATTTTTATTACACCAACAAAAGAGAAAAAACAAAAATTGATCCATTAGAAAGTTTGGCTATACATCCACGTGTAAGGATGTGAAGTTTACTCACGCAAAAACGATTCGGCGCTGTGCGTGCAGGCGCGCGCAAAAACGAAACCTTAGTGATCTAAAACCCTTCTTACGAAAAATAATTTAAATTAAAATTTCTGGGTTCTTTTAACTTTCACTCTCGGACCGGCCGACTTTGGTCAACGAGTGTCACGACCCAAGTTGGCAGGAAAATTGGCCTACATA